TAGATTCATTTAATATCAAATGAAACCCCACAAGATGGTTTTCCTTTTCAATATACAACATACACTTTGAACACAGTTGTTACTCAGAGCACAAAACATAAATCTACTCACAATACCACAAAAGCGTGTACAAAAGATTGGAAAGTGTTTACTTCTCACCTGAGCAAGGAATAACAAACCAACAATACGGCCTCGTGCACCAACAATCCTCACAACCAGTCTACACAAGTACACAACCATCATGTATTAGCTTTCAACTAATAATGTGCCTAAAACAACATTTGGGGACACAAAATTCCTAGCTCCAACCAAAACTCTACCCAACTAAAAAGGGTATAACCATCAAGGCAACACTCCAAGGTCATAAAAATCCATTAAAACCTTAATTCCTTTCCAAACATCAATTAAAATTCATAACCCCAAGGACCCACTATAGGAATTCCACACCCAAACATCTTATTTGAACAATTGAAGTCTTAACAACATTCTAAACCGATTAAACATCCAATTTAACCCTCCTTAACATAACCCAAATCACAAAACTCAAAATCAACCTCCACATTATCATCCTCAACCACAAACCTCCCATTTTCATAAACCCTAACTTCAAAAACTCAAAGTTTTTTAAATCCAAGAAAACTACACCGATTAAATACTTAGACTAACCCAAAGCAATCAATTAAACTCAAAACAATCGGTCAAAAACCTCAATTCCATCAGAACCTAGAGAACTCTAGGGTTTCACCATAAATCCTCAGAAATTCCAAGAAAGAAAGTAGATTACAGGTTAAAATCACTTACTTGAGGTAATGGATCCTTAGAAATGCCCCCTCCAAGCCAAAAATTCAAAACCCTAGCAGAGCCTCTCTCTCTTCCTTCAGATTTTCTATTTTTCGCACATCTGACCCCTCCCGCGACTATATAGATTCAACCCCCTTCGCCACAGCAATCCCATAACTTCGCCGCGGTGAACTTATCTCGAGAGGAATTACTCGCCTGAAAACATGACTTCGCCACGATGAACTCTAATTTTTGCCTCGGCGAAAGCTTCCCGAGAAGAAACTCTTGCTCGCCTAGAAGACCTTCGCCGCGACATACCCCTAACTTCACCACGACGAAACCTTCCTGAAAGGACACTCCCCCTTGGAACTCCCGGTTCGCCGCGGCGAACAAACCCTGAGAGGGATTTTTCACCTATTCCTTCAACATACTTCAATCCCAAGCCAAACACCAAGATCAAGGTTAAATCACTAATCTATCCTCAAAATCAACCAAAAAGAGGATATTAAAACCCAATAAAACTCAAGACGTTACAATAGGAACCTTGAAGTTAGTGTAATTACGTCCCATATCTCTTCAATTACACCATAATAGGCTATGGATGCCAATTTAGGGTTTTTATCTTTAGCATTAGAGAAATGCATCGCTTTAGCGACTACCATTACCCCACTGTTCTACACAGTACTTTTCTCATCTTGAGCTTTTGTGTAGAAGGAATACCCATTTATATCATATCCATTCCAAGTGCTAACATCAAATCGAGGGCCCCAAGATAACCATTTTATTGTGTCAGAAACATTTGTCTCCCTCCAAACCTTTTCCTTGAACCACAAAATAAATATCTTGTTATGCTCAATAACTATCTGCCTATCACTTTTCTTCGGATATTTGTCCTTTAAACTCTTCTTATGGTCATCTAAGTACGGTTGAACTTCTTTTATATTATTTAAAATGTATAAGTGCGCTTGGAACAGTTCTTCACAGCCAATGCTCTTTACTTTGAGGCCTTGAGTTCCCTTACCTATCCCATCGTCATGTTGAGCCTGAGCCTCCACCCCAGATAGGTATCCTTTGCAAAAGTCCATAGCCTCCTCAGCAACATATCTTTCAACAATTAATACTTCAGGTCAATAAGGATTCTTAGAATAACCTTTCAAGACTTTCATGTATCTCTCTTAAATAGATACATCCATCTTAGATATACAGGGCCACAGAGCCTTACCTCTCTTACTAAATGAACTATCAAATGTACCATGATATCAAAAAATGCTGGAGGAAAGTGCATTTCTAGTTGACAAAGAAGAACATACCCCTCGTTTTCCAATTCATCTAATTTTTCTGTGTCAATGACTTTGCTACATATAACATTGAAAAAAATACACAATCTAGTTATCGTGCTTCTCACATCATCTTTCATAATGCCTCGAATAGCCACTGGTAATAGTTGTTGCATCAATACATGGTAATCATGAGACTTTATTCCAACTAACTTTAAATCATCTATCGACACAAACCTTTTTACATTAGAAGAATAACCTTGTGGCACCTTAATGTTATACAAACATCAGCACAAGCTAGTTTTCTCTGCTTTAGACAACATGTGTGTCGCTAGTTCCAAATAAGCCTTCTTACCACCTTCTTGTAGTTTTGGATGTAACCGTTCTCTTATTCTATTTCAGCCAAGTCTAGTCTTGTAGTGATTCCATCCTTGGCTTTTCCTGGTATGTGCAAAAAAGTACCAATAAGGCTATCACATATGTTTTTCTCCACATGCATCACATTAAGACTATGTCTAACATCAAGATTACACCAATATGGAAAATCAAAGAAAATGGACCTTTTTTTCCAAATGTTCTTCTGATCACCTGCAATTCTCTTATTCTTACTAAAGACGACATCAATTCTTTCCACCTTACGATAAACTTCCTCCCCGGTTAATGGTTTCAGAGTCATTCCATGTTCTAGTGAGCCATTAAAAACCTTTTTCAATCTACGGTATAGGTGGAACCGATCAAAAAACCCCCTGTGACCAAGATAAATTGTTTTCCTTTTGTGCTTCAGTTAGTGATAGTATGTGTCCGCTTCACATATAGGACACACTTTATGTCCTTTTATACTGTATCCTGACAAGTTTTCATAGGCAGGAAAGTCATTTATCATCGTGAAGATAATTACATGAAGCTTAAAGGACTCTTACTTATGTGCATCAAACATATCCACGCCTTCCTCCCATAATTTCTTCAAGTCTTTAATCAAATGTGCCAAGTAGATGTCGATATTGTTCCCCGGCTATTTTGGTCCCGAAATCATCATAGACAACATCATATACTTGCACTTCATGCATAACCAGGGAGGAAAGTTGTAAATCACAAGCAAAACTAGCCATGCACTATGTGTGCTATTAAGAGTATCATAAGGATTAATTCCATCTGTACAAAGCCCAAGACGAAGGTTTCTTGGCTCACTACCAAATTCTGGATACATTTCATTTATTTTCTTCCATTGAGGAGAATCAGCAGGGTGCCTAAGATGTTTTCCATCCAATATTTTCTCATCAACATGCCATGTCAACTTTTTTTTACCTCTATTGCATTAGCAAACAAACCTTTGAATTGTGGTATTATCAGAAGATACCCTAGTACCTTCAAAGGTTGCCCTTTAGTTGTCTCATTAGCATCACCATCACTATCTTTGTTCTTCTTCACTTATATCGTGAAGATCCGCATTTTTGGACACTCACTAAGATCAACATACTCTTCCTTGTATAATATGCAATCATTAGGAAAGGCATGTATCTTTTCATAGCCTATTCCCATCTGAGACAAGATTTTCTTTGCCTCATAGACACTATTTGGAAGAACATTATCCGCTGGAAGCATATCACCCAACAATTGAAGTAACTCCGTAAAACTTTTATCTATTCATCCATTAGTTGCCTTCAAATTGAATAATTTCAATACAACTGTCAACCGTGTATACATAGAACATCCAGGGTATAAAGCTATTTCTGCATCACTTTGCAAACTATCATTTATATGCGATCATGTGGAGAACCCCGTCAAGATCATAAATCATATCACTCATTATATCATTGAAGCCACCCACAACTTCCTCTTCTTCAACCAATGGCATTGTTCCTCTTTCGTCATGCCATATCCATCTTGTACATCGCAGATTTATCCCCTCACAAAACAAGATTCCTTATACCATTAGTAGTCAATCGTCTCTTATTTAAACAATTAACACAGGGGCAAACATACTTTTCACTTTTGTCATAAGCATTCCTTTTAGTAAATTCAATAAATTCTTCTACCCCATTCTCATACTCCTTAGATGTTCTCAAAGCACTCATCCAACTACAATCCATTCTATTAATATATAAGTAATTCTAAATAATTTAATTTAATTCAAGATTAAAATCAACAAATAAAGAACATAAATTAAAACCTTTAACAAGAAATAAAATATTATCTAATATTAAACATTTTATAAACAAAGAAATAAATTTTATTAATTACATAGTCAGTATTTTAACATAAAAATTTATTTTATATATTAATAATATTGATAGTGTTTACATGATGATTTATCTAAAGATGAACAATTTGGCGCTTATGAAGTTTTGTATGTGATAAGCAAATTTTATTCATTTTCGCAAATAAAATTTATCATCCAAAAAATTTTTTTGCAATAAATAAAAGATGTATTTTTCTATTTAAACTCACCAATTTATTTAATCTAATCATTATTAATTATTTCTAGCGCAAATTCATATAATTCATACAACACATTGTAACTACTACAACAAAATATTTAAAACCACTCCTTCTTCATAATTAATGGATATAATGAAAACAAAAAAACTAAATATATAAAATCAAAAACTCAATTCTATTCCATTGGTTATACATCTGCATTTCATCAAAAATCTAAATTACAATACAATCACAAGCCTCCCAATTTCAACAGGTTCATCAAACAACAACATATATATGATCAATTCATCCTTAAAAAGATATCTAACTTACCTATGAAGTGAAGAATGAAAAATGAAGCAGAGCTGTAGACTACCCATAGTGAGCTCACTGGAAACACAGAAAGAAACAAAATGTGAGTAAAACAAAGAAAGAGAGGAAAAAAAATTTGAAATGAGGAGGGGAGTCGACCTTCAATTGGAAAAGGGGGAGCTAAAGTGTTGAGGGGAGCAGCTAGTAGGGGGAATGTTGGGAGAGGGGGGCCATGGGGGTGGGGGTGGGTGGGGTGGACTGGGGGGGAGCTGTTATAGGGGGAGGGGACACGACGGAACGGGGTTGGGGGTAGGGTTAACGGGGATAGGTAAGACGCAGTCAGGGGTGGGGGGACCAGGGGGACCACACGGGGGCGGGGGTAGGGTTATCGAGGGGGAGTGGTGTGGGCATTTAGGGGGAGGAAGGAGAGATGGAAATGGGGGGGGTGCTAAGAGAAGTGGAGGGGAGATGGAAATGGGGGGCGCTGAGAGAGAGGTGGGGGCCAAGTTGGGGGGAGGGTTCAGAGAAGGGGTGGGAATTGAAGTTTGGAGAAGGTTCAGAGAAGGAGGTGCTGAGCTGAAAGAGGGAGAAGAGTACTTTTGGGAGGAGTTGAAGGAGGGTTAAGCCATAAAAAAGTTCGGTAGGCCCAAAATGAGACCTATATTTGTTTGGTCCCCCTACCAAACGAATATGGGAGGCCCATATTCGTTTGGTTGCCTGACTAGACAAATATGGGCCTACCATTTTCGTCTGGTTGTCTGATTAGACGAAAATGGAGGCCCAAACACGTTTGTTTTGGCCCAACAGACGAGTATGGGCCCCTATGTTCATCAGTTTTCAATTTCAAACGAAAATAGGAGACGAAAATGGACTTTTTTGTAGTAGTGGGAATTTAAGTCTCTATATAATCTGGGAAAAGTGCTTGTGGGACCCATAGACGCTTGCATCTAATAGTCTAAAATGTTATTCTGATTGTATCTAATATTTTAAAATGATTTTTACCGCACTTAATATAATAAGATTTGTTTTTTTTCAATGGAACTGTTAAACTAAATTTTTAGTGCAGTTTTACTCTTAATATATATCCTAAAAACCCTTTGATGTGTTTTTAGGACCTTGAATATGCACCAAGTGTTGGGAAAGTAACGCGTTGGGAAGTGTCATGGAAGCTTCATGGTATAAAACCTGAACATCTCACTATTCGAATCCACGTTCCCTTCTCCTCAAAACGCTCATCCCCCAAACCGCAGCGTTTTGGTATGAGATACCAACCGTCTTTGTTTCCCTTTTTAATTTTAATTTTATTAAATTTTATTTTTTTTGTTTATTTGAATTTAATTGTATCTAGCACCTTAAAGTATTTTTTTTGGTAACACCCAACATTACAAATTAATGAATTTTTTGTGCTTCCGGACAAATTTTTTCGGTTAGTATTTTTTTAGTAGCACCCACTATTCTAAATTAATTAATTTTTAATGCCCAGTAACACCCAATTCCCACTAAAAATTTGTAGGGCATATGCCTGGGATAAAAATTAATTAATTACTTTAGAATATTGCATGCTACAAAAATATTTTAGAATACTAAATGCATTAAAAATTAATTAATTTAAGATACTAGGTATTACTGAAAAAATATTTTCATATGCTAAATGCACTAAAAGTAATGAATTTAAGATATTGAGTGCTCCCGAAAATATACTTTAGGTGTTAAATGTATTAAAAATTAATCAATTCAGAATACTAGGTACTTCTAAAAAAATATTTCAGAGTACTTAAATTATGTTGTTTAAAATGTTAGTTAACATTGGTTGAGGATAATAAATGGGTAAAAAGTGCAACCTTTTTGCCAAAACAATCCTCATTTATGGGGAAGAGAGATAATGTGTGGGAGAGAGAATATGTGGGAATTAAATACAACTATATAAGTAACATGAGTAATTAAATGGAGGTAAAATAAAAAATCAACACATAAAATTTGAGATTTCTTATAAAAAAAAACATGATATACTTTACAATTGTCTCTCATGTTAAGAGAGGGAGGGAGTATTGTTTTAAAATGCAAACATCTTATAGTTACGTAAGTGGATATGTAGATATGCGTATATATAGTAGGCAAAAAAAAAAAAAAGATATGCATATATATACGTAAATATGAAAATGCATGATAAGCATTAATTTTATTTATTTCATTTGATAAATATTTGTTAGGGGTATGGAAAGGTGGATTAAAAAAAGGAATTTTAATTAGTGACACGCTTTTGAAAATGCATACAAAAAGGGAATTGGAAAAATCTGATTCAAAGTCCCCCTCATCATCAGCACAGTTTGGGATGGGCGAGTATGGCTGTATGCCAGCACTTCATTGCCTGCGAGGAGCGGACTTTTCGGTTCAATGGGACCCGCGAATCCCACTGGTTGCCCCGATACGGTTCTTCTCTTGGTGAGAACCTCGCCAGAATGGAATCCCCATTCACATATATTATTATTAGAATATTTTTACAATAACACCCAATATGTTAAATTAATTATTTTTTAGTGAATTTAACGTCCTAAAATATTTTTTAGTAGTAACCAGTATTTTAAATTAATTAATTTTAAGTGAATACAATATCTTGAACTATTTTTTCAATAACACCTAATATCCTAAATTAATTAATTTTAAGTGAATCCAACAATCTGAAGTATTTTTTTTTGTACCACCCAGTATCCTAAATTAATTAATTTTTAGTGTAGTTAGTATCCTAAAGTATTTTTTTAATAACATCCAATGACCTAAATTAATTAATTTTTAGTAAATCTAACACTCCAAAATATTTTTTTAGTAATATTTAGAACTATAAATTAATTTTTAGTGTATCCAGCACTTTAAGATATTTTTCTAGTAGCACTTACTAAATACTAACTGAAAAAAATACTAGATACATCAAATATTAATTAATTTAGGATATTGAGTGTTACTAAAAAAATATCTTAGAGTGCTAAATACAAATTAAACTAAATAAGTAAAAAAATTAATAAAAATTAAAAAAGAAAAAAGAGGAGGTCAGTATCTCATAAAAAAGTAAAAATTAATTAAAAAAATGGGCCAATCCCCCAAAAGTCCTAAACGAGTGTATGGGAGATGAGCATGCCGTGCACAATGATGGAAGAAGAATCGCCTGTATTCTTAAAAACATCTAAACTTTCTTATTCAAAGGTTAACAGTCGAATTTTACCTTTAAAAAAAAAGGTTAACAGCCGAAATTTCTTAGGAAGGTCAAAAGATAAAATATGTGAACTGTTAGCGTTTTTTTGTAGTAAATTTAATTTTATTCATATTTGTTTGAATGAGTTGTATATCTTCCTAATGAATCTAATTTAATTACGACACAACACACTATTTTAATTTCAAACTAGAAATCACAACGTCATACTTGTATCGGACATCACTTATGATGGTGGCTGGAAATGTGAGTATTCTCATATTTTAAAAATTCAAGGAATTATCAAGAATGAGGACTTCTAATATAAATGTAAATACAGATCACAAAAACCAATTCCATCATGACCGTTGGCCAGGATTATTATGCTTAATTTCATAGTATGCGATTTAAATTAAATGATCACTCTAATAAAGAGGTTTTTTTTGGGACAAACTCTAATATAGAGGTTTACACCCACTAAAATGATCTCCCTTTACACAACACAACTGGATAACAATGAGCAATAGTATTTTAAAAAAAATTAATATCTTGTGTTTAAGAAAATTACCTAAAAGTGAAGACCCGCCATCCAAGTGGAAAATGGGTCAACAAGGGGGCTTTCAATGAAATACTTCCTCCGGAACATAACAAGTTTTTCCAAAAAAGAATTTTGATTCAAAATATAAAAGAGTGATAAAATAATTAATGTGTTTTTTTAACTTTTATTTCTTGTTGCAAGAAAGAAAGGGGGTTAGTTGCAAGAAAGAAAGGGGGTTAGAAATGCAGGAGAAATGTGAAAGGGTAAAATATATAAATTTTATTAATTTAAAACATATTTACACTATGTTTGGATTAAGAGAAAGTTAGGGGAGGAAAAAAGTAGGAGGAAGTAAATGGGGGGAATTGGATTTTCCATTGTTTGGATTAGAGGAGAAAATAGGGGAACAGGAAAGTGAGAGGAAAAAAAAATAATGTAGGTGCCATGTGTTTTTATCTCCAAATTATCATTTTATTTAGATGGGTCTTAGATTCTATGTGCAGTGTTTTTTTTTTTTTAAATAACAACAACAATAAGGGCCTGGGTTTTCGAAAGAAGATTTTATTTTAATTTTCGGCATTACTTAAAAAATCAGTTAAAAATTAAATGATGGTATTATTTTCATTATAAGTGTCATGAATTTTTCCTCCCTTCTCTCTTCTCCTCTCCATCCAAATTCCGAACACAAGGAGTCAAGGAGAGATAATGTTGTCTCTTCACTTTTTTCCTCCCCCTATTTTCTCCTTGTCTTATTTTTCTCTCCATCCCAGCATAGTGTTATCAATCACTTAAATAACATTTCTTGGTTCATCTTACATTTTGGACTGAAGAAATTAAAAAGACATCAGACATATAATGGATTATTGGATCTAATGTTTGCACTGCATATACATCTCTACGTTTGTTTTTCTGTTTTGTGATCAGTCATTTATTGTCAATACTCAATAATAACTTTGAGATTAAGTAGCAATAATAAATAAAAAGAAGATTTTGAAATTTTGCCAATAAACTTTATAAAATAAATTATTATGCTTTTCTGCCAAACAAATAAAATATTGTGCATCGTATGATAAATTTTGTGAGAATTGCCTTGAATAACTTCGTGAGCATTAATCCTCATTCAACAAATTCATCAATCAAATTAATGAACGTGATTATTTTATTTTTTAAGGCTAAAATATATAAAACACTCTAAACTTTGAGTCAGTCGCACATCACCTTACTAGCCTTTTAAAATTTAAACTAAGGATTCTGATATCTGATATTTTTCCTATACCCCCTGCCATTAAAATTACAGTTAACTCTAACAATTTTTACCATATTATAATTTTTATATATTTTATTATACTATAATCTAAAAAATAATAATTGGCATTTGACACGTAATTTCAAGTATTTTATAATTTTTTTACTTAAAAAATATGGTCAAATAAATATTTCAAATATTTTTAAAGTATTTTATATTTTTTTATTATTATATTTTAAGCATTTAATAATATTTTAAAGAGATAAAGTGTTAAAATATCCTAAAAGTTGTTATGGAGGAGGATCCAGTGTCAGAAAGTTTTTTTTTTTTGCCTCAAATATATCCGGAAAATTTTATTTCGCAGCGAATAAGTGCTGACTTAACCCCTCTTAACCTACAGTTAATTTTGACTTATAGTTGCTTACATGGCAACTTGATTTTGCCACACATCATCTTCCTCTCATTCACTCTCGCTCTCTCTCTAAGACTTCTTGTCCTCGGTCCCTTCTCTCCCTTTCTCTGAAACTAATTCAGAGAAGCTTCGGCCAGAGCAACCGTAGCGAGCGAGATCCTATTCTCTCCTCTAACCATCGATTTCGCTCAATGACTAGGGCTCCGACGGCTTATCCGCTACTGCAATAGCTCCGCAACATTAT